ATTCTGCAATGAACATAGCAGTGCATATATTCTTTCAAATTAGTATTTTAGGTTTCCTCAGATATATTTTCAGAAGTAGAATTCCTGGGTCATAAGACAGTTTAATTTTTAATTTTTTGAGGTAACTCCACACTGTTGTCCACAGTGGCTGCACCAGTCTGCAAATTTTGAATACTTAAGCCCTTATCAGATGTATCATTGGTGAATATATTCTCCCATTCATTGGATTGTCTTTTCAGTGTGTTGATGGTATCCTTTGCTGTGCAAAAACTTTTTAGTTTGATGTAGTACCATTTGATTATTTTCTCTGTTGTTTCCCTTGCCTGAGGAGATATATTGACAAAAATATTCCTATGAGAAAACTCTATGATTTTAGGGCTCATTTTTTCTTGTAATATTTTTATTGTTTTGAGTCTACATTTTTCTTTAATCTATTTTGAATTTATTCTTGTGTATGGTGTAAGAAGGTGGAATTGTTTCTTCTTTCACACATATCTGTCCAATTTTCCCAACATCATTTATTGAATAGAGTATCTTTACTCCATTGTATGTTTTTGCCTCCTTTGTCAAATATTAATTGGCAATAAAGGTGTAGGTTTATTTTTGGGCTCTCTATTGTTTCATTTTTCTCTATGTCTGTTTTTATGCTGGTGCCATACTGTTCCAATTACTATGGCTTTGTAGTATAGTCTGATATAAGGTACATTATTACTCCAACTTTGTTCTTCTTTCATAAGATTGCTGTGCTTATTTGGCTTCTTTTGTGGTTCCATATACATTTTTTGAATATTTGTTCTAGTTCTGTGAAATACACCATTGGTGTCTTGATTGAATTATATTGTCTCTATAGATGGCTTTGGGTAGTATGGACATTTTAATGATGTTAATTCTTCCTATTCATGAACACAGTATAGGCTTCCACTTATTTCTTCTTCAGTTTCTTTCTTTAGTGCCATAATTTTCTGAATACAGGTCTTTTATATCTTTGGTTAAATTTATTCCAAGGTATTTTTTAATGAAATTATAAGTGTGATTTTTTTTTTAAAGTTTTCATTTTTGATAGTTCATTATTGGTATATAAACTGCAACTGGCCTGGCCAGTGTGGCTCAGTGATTGAGTGTTGACCCATGCATCAGGAGGTTACTGGTTCAATTCCTGGTCAGGGCACATGCCCAGGTTGTGGGCCCAATCCTCCAGTTGGGGACATGCAAGAGGTGGCCAATCGATGTTCTCTCTCATTGATGTTTCCATCTCTTTCTCCTTCTCCCTTTCTCTCTCTCTAATAATCAATAAAGAAAAAAATGTTTTTAATGCAACTAATTTCTGGATATTTATTTTGTATTCTGCTAATTTACTGAATTCATTTATTAGTTCTAGTAGTTTTGTGGTGGAATCTTTAGGGTTCTCTATGTACAACGTCATGTCATCTGTAAATAATGACAGTTTTATTTTCTCCCTTTCAATTTGGATGCTTTTTATTTCTTCTTGTCTGATTGCTGTGGCTAGGATTTTTAGTCAAATGCTGAATAAGAGAAGTGAAAGCAGACATTCCTGTCGTGTTCCTGACCTTGAGGGAAACACTTTTAGGTTTTGCCCATTGAGTATGATGTTGGTTGCGGGTTTGTCATCTATGGCCTATATTATGTTGAGGTACATTCTCTCTATTTCTACTTTGACGTGAGTTTTTATCATAAATGGGTACTAGATTTTATCAAATGCTTTTTATGCATCTACTGATATGATCATATGATTTTTATCCTTCATTTTGTTTATGTAGTGTATCATGTTTATTATTTGCAGATATTGAACCAACCTTCTATCCTTAGAATAAATCCCACTTGATCATGGCGTATGATCTTTTTAATATATTGCTAGATATGGTTTGCTAATATTTTGAGGAGGATTTTAACATCTATCTTCATCTGGGGTATTGGCCTATAATTTTCTTTCTTTGTACTATCCCTATCTGATTTTGGAGTTAGGATAATGCTGGCCTCATAAAATGAGCTTGGAAATTTTCCCACTCTTACAGTTTTCAGAATAGTTTGAGAAGGATATGTTTTAGTTCTTTGGTTTATTTTTTCTTTGTTTCTTGTTTTTTAATTTTTTTTTTTCCGTCATTTATTTTAGAGACAGAGGAAGGGAGAGAGAGATAGAAACATCAATGAGAGAGAACATTGATTGGCCGCCTCCTACATGCCCCCCACTAAGGATTGGGCCCACAACCTGGGCATGGGTCCTGACTGGGAATCAAACTGGTGACCTTTTGGTACATGGGTTGACATTCAACCACTGAACCACACCAGCCAGATTGTTTTAGTTCTTTGAAATTTTGATAAAATTCATCTGTGAAGCCAGTTTGGTCCAGGACTTTTGTGTGTCAGGAATTTTTAATTACTGCTTCAATTTCATTAGTTATAATTGATCTGTTCAGATTTCTGATTCTTCCTGATTTAGTTTAGAAAGATGATATGTTTCTAAGTAATTATTCATTTCATCCATAATTTGTCTGCATATTATTGTTCACAATGTTTTGTTATAATCCCTGTATTTCTGTGGAGTCAGTTATTATTTCTCTTTCATTTCTGATTTTATTTATTTGGGTCCACTCTGTTTTTTCTTGATGATTCTGGTTGTGCTTCAGATTTTAAATCTAAATACATTATATGAGCCATTTTCAACCATTTTTATCTTATGTCACTCATAAACTAATTACTAAAATTCTGCAACACACCCAAAATTTTATTATATTTTTTGCCAATCTGACAAGAAACAAAACAAAAAACAGGTATAATTTTGATTCATTCACAGAGGATGGCTATTGTGTTGACTGTTGTAATTTTTTATTTCTATATGACAATCTAAGGAAAAAGAGGTCAATGCTCCCTGACTAAACAGTTAAGTATTGCATATTTTAAAAATTCTTGTGGCACACTGGTTGAAAATCACTGCAAAATATGATCTGTAACAAAGGCCAAACACTACAAACAACTAATTCTAGGCCTTATAAAGGGGACTTTAATTGTTATGACTGTCTAATTTTTTTAAAACAAAAACATATGCAAGACTCCCATGAATATCTTATCTGTGTAAGAACTACAAATAAGTGAACATATATCTGGGATAATATTATCAGTGCATCTTCTACTATATATCTCTTATACCATTTTAAGCTACTCTACAGATTCACAGTGACTATAAATTATATCCCTTCCATGCCAGTCCAAACCAAACATCAGCATAATCAATAACAGAGTTGGCTGTTAGTCTTTTGACTCCCACACAAGCATTCTTTTTATGTTGTCCTATCTGGAATAAAGGTACTAGTGTTAACTAGAAAATATCTCATCTGTAATGTATATTTCTCTATAAAACAATTTTTTCTTACACCTACCTGCCATATTTCTTAGCCTCCTTAGTCTCCAACATTGGTCTCCGGAGTTAACTTAATCCCATTATCATTTGCCTTTAGACCTCAGCATGTGAAAGTCTTTTGGGGTAGCATCTAAAGATGAGATCATCTAGCCAGAGAAAATAAAATCAGAGCAGAGAGGCACTGATTTTGCAACATCAAATAATTTGAATTCTACCCCCTGCCAATCTTCTGATTTATCAAATTCCAGGAGATTATGTTTTGTATTATCCTAGAAATTTTTGAGAGGCAATGTTAGAAGTATATAGAGTCTGAATTCAAACAGACATGAGTTTGAATCCTGATTTCATAACTAAGAAATTATTTGACAAGGAGGATTGTTTCACATCTCAACGTCTTAGTTTCTTCTCTATAAAATGGAGATAATCTCTCCAAGTACTGCTATGCCATGAGAACTTGCAATAATCTATTGAAGTGTTTAGGACATATCTGGCACATGATAGGCACAGAATTAGTGGTAGCTCTTTTAGCTTCTCTCACAACCTTCCACTCTATGACTCCCATGTCTTAGGTCCAAATTCTATCACCAACCTTTTAGGATTTCCTAGTTTCTAGGAGGGTTTGTCAGTTTCTTGGAGTCCATAGCCATACAAGCAATATATTAGAAAAGAGGTAACTAATGCTCTAAACATCTGCAAAATAGCCTTAATTTCTTCAAATAACAAAGAACAGTATTATTCAAAGAGCCTTAAATGAAAGTAAACACGTTTATTTGCCCACCTTCCATGTAGGTAGCCTAAGAGGTCAGCCCATGATAACTGTGATTATTTTTTTATATGTCACATACTTCAATATTTTCAAGATGAGCCTGCTAAAGTACCCTGAGTATTACTAGATTTTTTACTCATCATATATCCATCCATTGTTGTTTCTAGTCTCCTTGCTCCAGACTCTTTATAAGAAGAATTATATAAAAGGTTTATTTAACATGGCTGGAAAAATCATCCTACAAACAAATGTGGTCTAGCCTAAATTTCTCAAAAATTATCAATTATTTCAAAATTATTCTTGCCAATGATATCAATTATATACAGACACCTACTGCTAATTTTCAATGATACTACTAACATCCGGGACTAGGACCCCAAGCAACTCAACATTCTGGGCTTTTCTTATGTCCTCTATAGAAGCAGAGCTTTGGTTAAGCAGTCTCTGATGGTCTATGTATTTCTTCCTTGAGATACTACCCCAATGGTCAGGAAGGATGTGGGAATATACTAAGGACACAGTAAGGGAGAGACTTGACAAAAAAGTCTGGGATACCACCCTGCGTGGAACTCTGCGTGTATGAGCTCAAGACTGTCTTTGTGTTCTATACTCAGAACTCGGGTATCTGCTCCCCAGATGGCAGTTCCTTCTCTTGGGAATGAAGAATCAAGCCAGAAAACAAATAGAAAATCCAAAGGGAAATAAAATTGCCTACAAGTGGGATGAAAATGGAGGGGAAGGTGGAGTCAAACTATCCAGGACAAAGCTCTTATTCCTGGATTTTTGAAGGAAAGGGAACTAGGTGAACTGGTTGCCAAGACAACCTGCTACTGGGGCAAGGACGATTGTGGCAAGGAAATGAGAGACCTATGGTTGTTCCTGCTCCTGCCTTTGTCCCTGGCAACCTTCCATGGAGTCCAAGGCTGCTTGGAATGTGACCCCGAATTTATAAAGGATATTAAGTCCTTGTTGGAAAAGTTGGTACCCTCAGAAGTCCCTGGCCGAACTCAACTGCTTGAATGGCAGTTGAAAAAGATGGTCAATATAAGCTTCAAGGTCTCCCACGGAAACAAGATGCTTCGGGTATTGGGTGAGGGAAGCTTGAGTCCCTCCGACTGTTGAGGGTTAAAGGGAGAAGGGAGGCAGGGAAGAAAGTACCTGGGTTCACCTAATATCCTCCACCGATACCATTATTCCTCCACATGTCAGTTTACTTCTCTTTTCTAGCTGTTCAAAAGGCTATCTCTTTGAGAACGTGGCTGAAGGATGAACTTCATAAAGTGGGCAGTAAAACATGGAAAGGTGAGGTACTGTTTCAATGTTCAAAGATTGTATTGCCCAAGGAAATATGAGGAAAGTTCGCTGGGGAAAACAAGGCAAACCAATCAGGATTAAACCCTGAAGGGAATGGCCACCCTTATTTTCTGATGTCCCTTCCACCCCCTCTTAGGTGTCTTCATCCTTCAAGGCGACCTTCTCGATATCCGCCAAAACCTGGAATCCAGACTGCAAGAAACATTAAAGCACTTCTCTGAAGTTGGTAATGAAAGACGTCCAGCTAACAACACAGAAGTTATGTGAAAGGAATAGGGAGGGAGGGGTGAGGGGAGGAATGAGTGACTCAGAACAGGTGGAGGGGTGGCTGGAGCTTAACAGGAACCGGATAAAGACTACTTGGGTATAAATATGACAAACTCAATTTTGATTCTAAGCTCATTAGAACTGTTTGATTCTCTTTTAGCTTGTTCTGAAGATTGTGGTGAGTAGAGTACATGTGACACCTTGAGGCTTGAGCCCATTCTCCCGTCCCCTTTGCTCTCTATGACCCGATCCCTCCAGCTTGTCCCACTGAGAACCCAATTCCTAGAGCTGAGCTTCCAAGAAGCAATGTGAATGATACCTGAAAACAAAACCTAGCTTATGAGATCCTAGATGCCTTGCAGAGTTTGGAGGTGCTCAGAGGCCTCCTAAAGTATAGTTTACAACCCATAGCACCCGGGTAAACTAAGGTTTCATTTTTCCCACTTCTTCCTCTGAGATCTGGCTTAATTTACAGAAGGTTTGACCCATCAGAAACTTGATTGCTAGGGGAAGGAGAAATTCACAGATGCCCGGGGAGAGGACACTCCATGCCACGCCCCGCTCCAACTGCCTTCCTGTCTTCTTCAGTGACGACGGAAGGCCCTGTCCTGGACTGCTGGCGCTGCCACCGCATCACCGCCCAGTGCTTCCAAGGAGAGTATTGTGAAGGTAACAAAGATCGCCGCGTGGCATGTTGAGGGATCCGTGGTCAAAGTGATGAGCCATTCATTGGTTTATTCAACAAATATTTGTCGAGCATCTTCTATGCAGGCCATGCTAATGTTACAAATAAAAGCTAAGATGTTGGGCAAAATGTGTCTATCAGTATGAATTACTAGGCACTGGGTCAACTTAAGGACTGAGAAATACAAGGTCTGGACTAAAGGCAGAGAAGTTAGGCTAGCAGCAGTAAGGGCAAAAGTTTCAGAGAGACAGAGAGTCTACGGATAATAAAGATCGCAGTGATCAGGAAACTGTGATGGAAATGATGAACAGAGCAAACAGTTTGAGGTAAAAAGGAATATTCTATGATGCATAAAGTTCTTTTGGTTATTTTTCTTCTCCAAACCTTTTTTTTTTACTTTATTTTTATTGTGTACATTATTACAGAGGTCCCCATCCTGCCCCCCTTGCCCACCTCCCACTTCTTCCCCACACTTCCTCTGGCCATCACCACACTGTTGTCTGTATCTATGGGTTATGCATATATGTTCTTCAGTTAATCAACTCACTTTTTTACCCCCTTTCAGAAGAGGATCCAAGGCAGCCTGAGAATCAAGAAATCACACTATTTCTGATACTGATAGCGGAATTTGTAATATTGGGAAGTGCTTTGTTACTGTGAGTTTTACTCCCTCCAGACAAACATTCCTTTGGCAAAGAGACTACCCAGTCTTCCCCCTCTTTCTATTTCAAACTTTGGGATATGATACTGACAGGAAGAAAGTGAATGGAAGTTTGATGGGATGAAAGTTGAAAAGGGAAATTAGGAGGTGCAATGAAGTTTGAGGAAAACATTTAAAAAGTTATCTAGAAAAGGAAGAAGAAAACAATTGTACAATTATTTTAGAGAGTTGGGCCACTGATATTGAAGTTGGAATTATCTTGTTTCTCTACTCTAGACTCCATATTTGTGTTACCCATCGGAGGAAAATAAAAGCAGCACGGAGGTCATTAGAGACATACTTGGACATGAAACTTGAAAAATTAATGGAGATCACAGATGAGAAGGAGAAGGAAGATTCTGGAATAGAAAAATAAATATGGACAGAGACAGGAGATCTTTCAAGATTCTCTAAAGTATTGACTCAGTGTAGAAAACTGGAAATTAAGTTCTTTTGTGGTCATAAAATCATAGTATTTTAAAACTGAAATAGAACTTAGAGTTTCTCTAGAAAAGATCTTCATCGAATCCTGAGGTAACAGAAGCAATGACAGGGCAAATGATTGGCCCAGAGTCCTGCAGAAAGTAACACTGCTATGTTGCAACACATATTTAAAAAATGATACTCTGTATGATTTAATAAAAAAATACACCGTTGGTAACTCTCATTAATGGCTATAATTAGAATAACTTTAAACTGATAAAGCTGTGTTTATTTCTATCTTTTCATTTTGTTACAGTTTTCATATTTCTCATTAGGCTTAATGTGGACCATTTTCTTGATAATACATAACACTTAATCTTCATCATGGTATCATACACACACATCGCAATGTCCAAAATATAAATTCTGAGTAGTTGAGGTTTGATCATGGGAATTCCCCTAATTCTATGCTCCATGACTGAATTGTATATTAATTTCTGATGGTTTCAGTTGTTTCTATTGAACACTTTTTTGTGTATAGTACCTTTAATTGGTGCTTTATGTCTATTATCTAATTTAATTTTTTTTTTTTTTAAATCTTCACCCAAGGACATTTTTTGATATTTTGTTCAGATAGAGTGGGAGGGAGGGAGAGAGAGAGAGAGGAAAAACATCGATGTGAAAGGGACACATTGAGTGGTTGCCACCCACACAACCCAACAGGGCCGGGGACAAACTGCAACCGAGGTACGCGCCCCTAGCGGGAACTGAACCCAGGTCTCTCTGGACCTCAGGCCGACGCTCTAACCGCTGAGCAAAACCGCCCAGGGCTCTAATTGAATTTTTGCAACAGTCTTCTAAGTAATATTGTTATCATCTCCATGTTAGAGATGAGGAAACAGAAAATATCTAACTCAAGGTCACATTGCTACTAACCTAGGCTGTGACAAACTCATCTGGTGGCTGACCTTTGCTTATCCAAACCATCTGATAGGTACTGACAGCTATAGACATGGACACGGTAGCTAGATTAATGAAAAGAGAATAAAAGTGGGTTTATTGTCATAAATATTCTTGACTACAGATAGTAGTGGCAAAGTCTAGAATAAAATGGAAACCTGGTTCCATCTAAAATATATGAACTTTCCACTCAATCTTGTTTCCTTTTTTTCTGGAAGCTTATTTCAAAAGATAAACACCACAGTATGGCAGCCGAGAAACAGTTTCAGAAGTCTTGCTTCACTGGTGGGTAGAATCGTTTGAAAATCTTTCACCCCTCTAGCTCTCTGAGTGCTTGCTTGTTGTTACTGCTATGCTAATGAAATATTGAGCAAATGAACTTCATGTTAAATATTCCCAAAAAAGAGTATTGTTAATAACTACCATTTCCCATGATTTAAAGCTGTTCTCACCCCAAAAAACCTTGAGATTTATTTATTTCATTCATAGTTTTAATTAAATTATTGTCTGTATAGTGTTTTATTCATCATTGTAAATAATTACATAAATAGGATAACATACTTGCTAAGTTTTGTGTTTCTCTGTTGGCTTTAGTGCAACCTTTTAAATTTTTTGTCTCATCAATTTATCATCCCCTCCCCACTCTTACTCCAATCTCATTGTTCCACTCTAGAAAATCCAGGTGAACAAGTTAGGATATAGCTTTCATTACTTTAGCAAAAACTAACTAGTTATAAGTTAACTTATAACACACAGTCAAATATATTTACCTCTGCAATTAAAAAATTATGCACACTTAATGTATATTGATTTTTGCACCTCCTTTGTGGAAATTATTTTAATTGTTGACTGCGCACGAGTTAACTTGTGTTTTCATGCCCAAACGTTGTTGACCAATCATGAGGTAACTCCTGTTTGCACTTGTATTAGCTATTTCAATTTTTGAAACTCAGGGTAATATAGGATTATTGTATTTGTGACTCTTTGCCCTGAGGGTCCAAGTTTGAAAAACAGCACCCTGGTCTATATTCTCACGCAGACTCTTTCTCTTTTGACTTCTCCGGGTGTGAGACCACAAAACTGAAGGTACGGTGAACAAAAACAATCATTGTGGAGCCGTCTACACTTGGACTATCTTCTAACCGCTCACAGTTTGAACATACATATCAAAGATATTGTAAAATCTTTCTTCGTCATGTTCAGTTTATTATAAAAAAAGTGACTTTTTTTAATATTTAGGTTTGCATCACAATTAGAGTATTACAAAAGTTTCAACCATGATGGTTTGTGAACGTGAAGAACTGTTCAATGAATTATTTGCAGAAGCTTTATCTGATTGTCTGGGCGATTTTGAAATATATTGTAGTGATGTAGAAATTGATAGTCTATCAGAAGACATTAATGAGTTGGATATTAGATCATTAAAACAACAAAAAAAGAAATATAATAAGATGTGATAGTGAAAGTGATTTTGAAGAAGAGTGAATTGAAAATGATATTACACCAACTTTGGAGGATTATTCAAACATTTTGGGTGCAACTGCCAACCGTAGTGATCCACGGAGCATCAGGGAAGTGATGGGATTACCTTATAGTGATGATATTTTTTTGTTGTTGTTTATCCTCAACCGAAAACATTTTTCCATTTTTGTTGTTGTTGTTTGGATAGAGTGGGAGGGAGAGAGAGGAAGAGAAAGAGAGAGTGAGAGAGAAACATCAACGTGAAAGGGACACATCGAGTGGCTGCCACTCGCACAACCCAACCAGGGCCAGGAACAAACCACAACGAAGGTTCCTTAGCGGGAACTGAACCTGGGTCTCTGGACCGCAGGCCAATGCTCTAACCGCTGAGCCAAACCAGCCAGGGAGTGGTGATTTTTTTTTTTTATTTAGTTTTTTTCTCAACTCAATACCGATTTAAAGAAATTTCTCAGTTTGTTGATATTGATGGAACAAACAGAAAAAAAATCACTTTGGGGGGATTACTCGTCAACGGACCCTTTGGTTGAAGCTCCAATATTTTCTAAAACTATGAGCAAAATGAGGTTCGAGCAAATTCTTACATTTTTCCATGCTAGTGATAATTCACAAAATACATCTAATGGCCCTGTCTGGTTTGGCTCAGCGGTTAGAGCATCGGCCTGCAGTCCAGAGAGACCCAGGTTTGGTTCCCGCTAAGGGCACGAACTTCGGTTGCAGTTTGTCCCCGACCCTGGTTGGGTAGTGCGGGAGGCAGGCATTCAATGTGTCCCTTTCACATCAATGTTTCTCTCTCTTTCTCTCTCTCCCTCCCACTCTTATTTGAACAAAAAATGGAAAAATGTCCTCGAGTGAGGATTAAAAAAAAAAAATGCATCTAATAAAAACAGACTGTATAAAATCAGGCCGCTTTCGGATTACTTTATTCCAAAATTTTAGTCTTTGTATGTACTTAGCAGGAGTTATCCCTAGATGAAGCAATGATACCATATGGAGGGCATATAATCTGGCAACAATAATAAAATATGAGATATTAGTGAGAATGCTTTGTGAAAGCGAGAGTGGATACATTTGCAGCTTCAAGATTTATTTGGGTAAAGGCAAAAGGCTGCAAGAAAACTGTATTTTCTGTTTTAGAGCCTTATCTTGATTCTTGGCATCATGTATACCAAGATAATTACTACAATAGCCTTTCTACAGATGAAATATTATTTAGAAAAGAAAATGTTCATCTGTGCTACCGTAAGAGATAACATGTGGCTTGCCAAAGGTACTAAAAAGTCAAAGAATCTTCAGAGAGGGGAAATGACGTTTTTATGGAAAGGACCCATTGTCCTTATATCATGGAAAGAGAGAAGACTAGTGAATATGATATCAACTATCCACGATGCCTCTATGAAAACAACTGGAAAGCGAAAAAGAAATTCTACGGAAGACATAGTGAAACCTGCGTGTATATTAGACAACAACAAATACATAAAAAGAGTCGATCGAGCAGGCCAATATTTGGTGAATAGCAGTGTCTTTTTGAAAAGTATAGCCCTGGCCGGTTTGGCTCAACCTTTAGAGAGTCGGCCTGCAGTCCAGAGAGACCCGGGTTCGGTTCCCGCTAGGGGCATGTACCTCGGTTGTAGTTTGTCCCCTGCCCTGGTTGGTTGAGCGTGTGGCAGCCACTCGATGTGTCCCTTTCACGTCGATGTTTCTCTCTCTCCCTCCCACTCTATCTTAACAAAAAAAAATGGAAGAATGTCCTCGGGTGAGGATAAAAAAATAAATAAATTAAATTAAATAAAAAGTATAAAGTGGTCTAAAAAAAATAGCATTCTTTCTGATCAACTGTGCTTTATTCAATGCATTCAAAATTTACTGTAATTACAATTGACAAAATAAGATACAAAAAATTTCTACTTGAAGTAGCTAGGGACTAGAAAATGGATATCTGCTGGTTCAAATGAGTGCCGGTCAGAACCTGACACTTCTGGTTCTTCTAAAAGAGCTCTTTACATTGATTCACCTTTTAGGCTTTCAGGGCAAGTAAAAGACCACATTTTAGGAAAAATAGCCACTGGTATAAAAAAAATCCAACTCGAAAGTGTAAAGTGTGTATTTCAAAAGGAAAGTGCAGCGAAACCAGATATATTTACAAAACAGATTGCGTAGGTGATTGCTACACAGTATACCACACCAAAAAAATTACTAAAATATATAATATGTATAAAATATAATATGTAGCAGATATGTACAAAGTTTCATTTACATTCATTATGTATAAATAAAGTATACTGAAGTTTATTTAGACTGTTTCACTTGTATACTCAATTACAAAAAAGTAGCCAGTGACATAAGATAACTTCTGCATAAAATTGCCAGTCAGCAACGTGCTAAGCTAGCCAGTATACGTTTATTCACTGCTTTTGGTAGTTGTATACAATATCATGGTGTGGTGGTACCATAATTATTCCAACATTCCTCTATTTGGGGCACCCTCTTCATTTATTTATTTATTTATTTTTG